CCCACCCCCGCCTCCAGGCCTTGGGGCACCAGGGCTGGGGCTGGCGGGAGGTAAAATGGGGCCAGCCCAGAGAAAGCCTGCCCCTGCCCCTGCCCGAGCGCGTTCTCACGCCTTCCCCGAGGGGCGCAAGTGGACGGCCCGACAACCCCCGAAACACAACGCGGCCGTAAGTGTAGGGGCGCATTTCAGGATAACGGTGCCTGTGGAGGAGGGGCGAATGGGACGCCTGGCTCGGTGGCCTCAGAGGGGGACCCAATAAACAGGCCCTTGTCTGCACTTTGGACTTCTGGTCGTTTGCTCTCTGTCGGCCTAACAAGAGCCGGGGGAGAGGGTGAAAGGGAAGCCCTCTAACGGCAGTCCATTCAGCCCAGCGGCTGTAACTAGTCAGAGGGCTCTTCCAGTTGTCGGCCTTTCTAAATGGATAATGCAGCAGCGATTCTTCCTGTCACTGTAACTTTCTTCTGATGCCCCCTGGAGCATCGACCTCTGGTGAGGAGAGGAGAGGAGTTCCCCAGACCTGCCTCGTTTGCAATGTTAGTTGAAGACCAAGATCCTGACACTTGATGTCTGGTTATGAGAGCTCCCTGAGCAAACACACAGGTTCTTGGGCTGCAATATTTTTCTTTTTGTTGTCAGTTGAGAAATGGATGTTCTCTAATAAATGAGCAGCACAAAGTACAAAATTGTGCAGCAGGACAAAATTGTGTAATTAAAATACACAATTCTGACACTGGAGGGGACCTTCCCCTGGAAAGGAACATCACTGGGGATGGAAGAAGTAAAATTGGATTCAGGATCAAATCCACTAACATGCCTGGAAAATCAGGCTAGCTCTTGTCTGCTATCCAGCCTGGCTAGCACCACTGCTTCTCTGGACTGTGTAAATGACAGTATAGGCCGTGCTCTCATTCCAATCTTAAACAACCTTTTGCCAGAGCACTGATCTGCCTTCTTGTCAGCTTTCATGCCAGCCTTCCTCCCCGCACGCTGCCACTTTGATAAATCCTCCATGCTCTTAACCTTCTATACAATGTCTTGCTCTTTGGTTTTTCTCCTCAGAATGCAGGCCAAAGCGACTGTGAAAGTCAGCGCTATTGATTGTGTCCAGGTTTTTTCTCTGGTTTGCACAGTGATTTATGTCTTTGGGCATGTTTACACTAGGAAATTATTTCAAAATAACTACACTTGAAATAACGGCAAGGAGTCCTGTGGCACCTTATAGACTAACCAGAGTGTTGGAGCATAAGCTTTCGTGGGCAAAGACCCTCTTTGTCAGATGCATGTTAACAAGTGGGTCTTTGCCCACGAAAGCTTATCCTCCAACACTTCAGTTAGTCTATAAGGTGCCACAGGACTCCTCGCCGCTTTTGCAGATTCAGAATAACACGTCTACCCCTCTGATACATTTGAAATAATAACTCCCGGAATAACTATTTTGAAAAAAACAACAAATGGTCTGGTAGCACTTTATAGACTAACACAACATGTAGATGGTATCATGAGCTTTTGTGGGCACAGCCCACTTCTTCAGATGACTGGGGTCATTGTGGGCTATGCCCACAAAAGCTCATTATACCATCTACATGAGTCTATAAAGTGCTACCAGACCATTTGTTGTTTTTTTCTGTAACAAACTAACACAGCTACCCCCTGAAGTATTTTGAAATAAGCATTATTCCCCGAGGAAAGCAGGAGTACAGATTTTGAAATAACCAGCCCCTTATTTCAAATTAATGGTCTCGGTAGTGTGGATGCTCTGCTTATTATTTTAAAATAAGCGGGGTTATTTCAAAATAACTCCCTAGTGTAGACCAGGCCTTTGTGGCCTTTGGGCATTTTATAACATTACTAGCGTATGGACCTTTAAATGAAAGCAAAAGAATGTTTGTTAATCTGAAGAAATATAGAAACTCCATGAATATTCAAGACACAGGATGGGAGTAACAGTGATAATTGGAAATTAGCTGCCTTCCTCATCCCACGGGAAGTTTTAGAAACTTTGAAATTGTTTTCAGAAAATTTAAACAATTTGCTGTTAGAAAACATGAAGGCAGCAAAGCCTCTCTCATTAATATTTCACCCAGCTCTGAAACAGGGAATTTATATGAGAGAAAAATCTCTGCCCTGTCAAAGAGAATATTGATGACTGAATAATGTAAAGAGTCCAGGGACCTCAATAACTTAGTAGGCAGGGGGCCGAGAAGCTCTGTGCTTGCTCTGGGGAGGAAAACGGCTAATACATTTTGGACAAAATTGGTTTCCAATATTTGAAGTTTTATGTCTGTCACTACATGTGTGGAAGAATGGCTTCCCAATTCATTCTGGATGTTCTCTGGAGCTGACTGTGCAGCCTTTGTTGGAATAGAACATTTATTAAACCTAGGTACTGGATATTTGCTAAGTGTTGTACAGAGCTAAAGCTGCAGGAAAGAGGTGTTTTTACTGTGTGACATTGGGAGCCATCGCAGGGCAGGAGAACTGCTTTTTTCTTTATTTTTGAATGAGCATCTATTCTAAACTTTCTTCCTCCTATAGATTCTCCCCCGCAGCAAAACTGCTGATCCCCTCTTAGCATGGAAAATATTTATAGTGCCTCACTATGACACATTATAAGCACCTCACAACTCTCATAAACCAAAATATCAACAAAAGTGAAAACAGAAATACCCCTGGGATTGTGGAAGTGAGCATAAGAACGGCCGTACTGGTCAGACCAAAGGTCCATCTAGCTCAGTATCCTGTCTACCAACAGTGAACAATACTAAATACCCCAGAGGGAGGGAACACAACAGGTAATCCTCACGTGATCCCTCTCCTGTCACCCATTTCCAGACAAATGGAGGCTAGGGACACCATTCCCACCCATCCTGGCTAATAGCCATTGATGGACCAAAACTCCATGAATTTATCTAGCTCTTTCTTGAACCCTGTTAAAGAACAAGTCTTCACAACAACCTCTGGCAAGGAGTTCCACAGGTTAATTATGTGCTGAGTGAAGAAAAATCTCTGTTTGTTTGCTTGTTTTAAACCTGCTACCTATTAATTTCATTTGCTGACCTGTAGTTCTTATATTGTGGAAATAAGTAAATAACTTTTCCTTATTCACTTTTTCTACACCAGTCATGGTTTTATAGACCTCTATCACATCCCTCCTTAGTCTCCTCTTTCCTAAGATGAAAAGTCCAAGTCTTTTTAATCTCTCTTCATATGGGACCCATTCCAAACACCCTAATAGTTTTTGTTGCCCTTTTCTGAACCTTTTTCAATGCCAATATATCTTTTTTGAGATGAGGCATCCATATCTGTACATTACACGAGGTGTAATAATTAACTCGAACTAAGGACTTAGTTTGAGTTAACGTTTGACTGCCGTGTGTAGCCACGGGCAGTTAGTTCGGACTAAGGGGATTTAAAAATGGCACCCGGACAGGAAGATGCAAATAAAGCCCGGGATATTTAAATCCCAGGCTTCATTTGCAACTTCGAATGCCTACATTAGCCTCCCTAGTTCAAACTAGGGGGCTAGTGTAGACATACCCTTATTCTATATCCCTTTTTAATGGTTCCTAACATTCTGTTTGATTTTTTGACTGTCACTGCACACTGAGTGGTATGCACAAGAACACAGCTTAGTTGCCTCTTGTCTCTCTTCTCATCCCTCTGCTTTTTTTTCATGTAAGCCACCTGATTTGCTCATTCACCAATGTAATATACGCCATCATGTGCCAGCAATGCCCCTCTGCCATAAACATTGGCCAAAATGGACACAAATCAGACATCAGGAATGGTAACACACAAAAACCTGTGGGAGAACACTTCAGTCTTCCTGGACACACACTAGTAGATTTAAAAGTAGCCATCCTGCAACAAAAAAAACAGACTTCAAAGAGAAACTGCAGATCTACAATTCATTTGCAAACTTGACACTATCAATTTAGGATTAAACAAAGACTATGAATGGCCAACTACAGAAGCAGTTTCTCCCCTCTTGGAGT